GATGGTATATACGACTAATTTGAGTATGTTGTATTTTTCGGGCGTGTGCAGCAGGTAGTGCAATACTTGACTTAAAATACGTTGTATCCAAATTACAATGTTTTGGTTTTTAAATATAGCGCAAGGCAAATCTTTACTATACACCATGCGTAATGCAAGTAAGTACGCACAGAAAGTTCTTAAATAAGCACACCAATAGTGGTGTGCAAAGTATGTGTGTTTTGTTGTAATAGTGTGTGTTTTGTTTTAAATAGTGGTGTGCAAAGACTGTGGTGGTGTGCACTCTGCCCTTGGTGGTGTCCGCAGATTTCGGTGGTTTTAGTAAAAAAAACAAAAAACTAATAAAAAATGGTGTGCGGAGTCTGGCGGTGGTGTTTCATGGTTTGCGGAGACTTTGGTGGTGAAACGTGGTGTGCTGAGGCTTCCCCTAATTATTTTATAGAACTTGATTGCACGGTAAATGATGACAGTCCAACGGAAGTGTTTTGAAAAAGTACGACTGCAAACGTGCGCAGCGTTATTTCTCGAATTCCATACAGCACTGTAATTGGAAGTGGCAGCGAGACAAAGGTCACCAGAAGAAAGAGACCAGTGGTCACTAGGTTTGCCTTTGCTGTACCGGATTCAGCAAATATTGAACGCTATTATCGACAAATCCTAATAAGCAATGTGCCGATTTATCAGGACGATCCCTATTTCTCGGTCGATAATATTTCCCAAACGTTTTTGGAAGAATGCATTATCAGACAACTGATTACAGAAGAATTCCGTTAATGGCACTATCGACAAAGCCGTATCCAAAGGATTTTCTTATGAAAAGATTCATGAGATTGCGCAACTTTGCATCAAGAGCTTTCCCGAACTGGGTGATGCAGTAGGTGAATCGCTTGCGGAAATTCAAGAAATGCACCAGCAAAGCTTTTACAGTTCAGCAATTACCGAAGATACCGAAAAGCCAGTTTACTCTCCAAGCCAGATACTGCAGGAAGGTGTATGCCTGACATGTGCCCAAAATCTTATCTTCGAAGATATTATGAAAACCGCGAACAACAAAGACATTCAGTTTTTCCGTGCATTAATTGGCCCTGCCGGTACGGGAAAAAGTGTCATGATTAAAAAGATTCACGCCGCACTCACCGCCCGGAACATGAATGTCACGGTATTAGCACCGACCGGCACAGCAGCCAATGGGATCAACGGAACTACCATCCACAATTATTTTAACATCGGCATAGATAATCGTTGCAAAATTGAGGGTGATACCACAGAATTTTGGCGAGCACATCTGATCCATGTAATAATTGTTGACGAAGTAAGCATGGTCAACCAGGAGCTTTTTGAAACCCTGAGCTTGGTTTTGCGGAAATACAATAAGCGTAATCGACGATTGCAGCATTTGGTGGAGTATCCCTATTGGTTGTTGGAGATCCTGCCCAATTACCACCAGTGTCCAGAAACGCAAATCGCTGTTCAATTTTTACTGGTCGGTATTGGAGCAAGTTTTTTGTGCACCATCTGACAGAAATATTACGGCAAGAAGACCCCATTTTCCAGTCAATACTGGACGATCTACGTTACGGCAGCTGTACAGACTCAACACTCAAAGTACTGAAGAAAAACATCACAATGTAGATGCAAAATAGATTGACTAACATCAGATTGCACAACGCACCAAAGCCGCTCAGTGGCAAAATAAACCGTAGACGACATAGTACTTGACAAAAACCATTATATCCCAATTATATGTCCGCATTTGGAGACCGCAGCTGAATGGAACGAGAACTATTTAAAGTTATTCGACGGCACCGAAGAGATATACGAAGCCAAGGACGTTGGACCAGACGGAAACGAAATGTCATCAGTCGATAAAGAACGTACAAAGCGATGGTGTCACGACAGATTACCTGATGTTTTGAAAATCAAAAAAGGTGTAATGGTTATGCTGCTGAGAAATATCGATGTACCAGCCGGCTGGCACAACGGAGCACTGGCTACAGTAGTCGAATTTTCGAAACGCATCATAACGATTAGATCAGTTTCTACCGGGAGAATTCTATCCGTTCCTCGTTTTCGGAATTCTTACCGAATTTTCAGTTCCCCAACGCTAGGTTATCGGGAACAATTCCCACTACAACTAGCGTACGGACTGACGATACACAAGTTCCAGGGACAAACCCTAGACAACGCTGTGGTTGATCTGCGTCAACCATGCTGGGAAACGGGGCAATGTTACACCGCAATATCTCGTGTTCGCACTCTCAAAGGGCTTCGCATTATTGGAAATATTGTTCCATCAGTACTGATCGAACAGTGGGTACTAGATATTCTTGGCCCATCAAAACGAAATGTGTTGTCCAATGTTCAAGAACGAACGAACAGAAAAAAGGCAAAAAAGCAGAACGTAACAGAACCACACCAAAGTGAACATGTGCCTACAAACGATCCAGTTACCGGTATAAGTTATCCACCTAAAAACCTATTTGCTGATGCCGAATGGTGGATAAAAGAGCTGCAGCTTTCCGAAAATGACAAAGCCGATCTCGAAAATAATAACATGGTGTCAATCAACGTAATCGATGCAGCAATTTTTCTGTTGAAAAAAAAGAACCGATCAAGAATATGCGAAGGAAAATCGGCTTTTTCAGGATTAAATTATCTTTCTGAACGACATTTGCAGCCGTCTGCCAACACTTTTGGTGTTGGGGATACAGCTTTACAAATTTTATTTGTAAACGAAAATCATTTCCAGCTTGCGTACCGAAAAAGAGATGAAATATTGATATACGATTCCTTATCAGAAATTCCTACTCACCAAACTAATCTTGAGACACTGGGATGTGCAACCACGGTGATTGTACACCCATCTGTCCAGAGACAACTAAATGGAATTGACTGTGGCCTATTTACAATTGCATATGCGATAGCAATTTTGAACGACTTGGACCCAATAGCACTTTCTTTTGAACGAAGTACTATGCGGAAACATCTATTACGTTGTTTTGAAAGCCGAAAGATCACAACCTTCCCACAAAGTAAAGGTCACGACAGTGTCCGTACAAGCCATTGGTGTCAACGGACCTCTTAGCAACATTTTTCCTGAATCCTGGTTATGATACTGCGTCGCACGCTCCGCCACTGCAAAATTACCTATATTACGGAAGTACAAGGAATGAAATCTTACCAGGTTAGACGCTTAACGCAATCCTACATATGCAACAAATTACTTTACTTCTCGCTGGCTACAACTGCTATGACACAGCTCTTAATCATTAATGTACTCTTGTAAATATTTTAGAGGTTCACAATGTGCACTGTGTAATTACTGAATATACGATTATTTCCCGTATATTACTCGTATTTCCCGTGAGTACCCGATGCGCTACAATCTGTTTCATGCGTTGTTTATTGTTGTCAGCCGGGCAACTTCGGGACAACTTAGGAGTAAACAACAGCAATGCTTTGTTTTCAACGCACATCAGGCGAAACAAACGCTTTTATGCTCGAAACCAGTGTTTTCGGTTCTAACAGTTGTTTATGCGCACTGCATACGTTCGTGTTGCATACCTTTTGTTGACGGCGATGCGGCCTCGCCATCCCGACCAGGCCTATGAAACTGCTATTTGTGGCCTTGTAGGCCTTCTTGTGGTTTCTTTTAATATGGTTGTGCTGACGTTTTTCTAACGTCAACGTTATTCCTTCATTCATTCGTTGTGAGAAAAAATTGTTTGTTCTAGCCGGAAAATGATGTGCATTTGTCAATTAAAGATGATGGAGCGCTTTCGGCAGCTGCAAACGCTACGGCTTCTTTTTGACAAACCCTTATGCCCTTAGCTCTTATTACGACTTCAATTTCGTCCGAAGATTACCGAACGTTTTTCGAACCACAAAAAGAAGCCACATGCGGGCTTGTCATAATTTTTTGGGCTCGCAATTTACCATTCGCATTGATCAGTTTAAATGCGTGACGTGTAGGAAGTGGCACATACATAATTGTATTTTACTGTTGAAAAACAAAACTGTTGTTAAATCAGGGCAGGTATCAAAAACTTGGCAGACTGAACCTTTTGTCTCCACTCTCCACCAAACGTCGCTTAGTACTATAAAAAAAAAGTTTTAGCGGAATTTTTGGCGTACCGACATTTCGGCGTAGGGACATTTCGGCACTGGAAAATTCGGCATAACACATTTCGCCATATGGACATTTCGGCATACGGACATTTCGGCATAACATCTATACTGATAATAGTTAATATCTATTCATGATGGAAGAAGCTGATAAATTAAAAGAAATTTTGTTACTGCAAACCTGTTTTTATTGTAAACTCATGCATTCTAAGTGGCTTGTGCTAATAAAGGATGAACATGACAATAAACCTAAAAGCCAGTGAATTATTTATACCCAATCTACTAAAGTGAAGAGCACGATAGAATTTAAAAAAACTGAAAACTTAAAAATCCTAAAACTTAAGCAAACCTAAAACATACAAAACATGCAAAAGCCAATAACCCTGTAAAAATAAGAAAACGTAGGAAGACAGAAGAAATGTGCATCAGAAAGCTTGAAAGGAACTCTAAAAAATCCTAAGAAAACATAAAAATAAAACTAAGAATCCTAAGTAAACCTAAGAAACCTAAGAAACCAAAGAAACCTAAGAAAGCCTAAGAAAACCTAAGAAGATCTAAGAATACGAGGATCTAGGAATACATAAGATCTAAGAATACATAGAATTTAAGCAACAGTATTAGCAGAAATGTCCGTATGCCAAATTGTTCTCATGCCGAAATGTCTTATGCCGAAATGTCCTATGCCGAATGGTCACTATGCCGAAATGGTCGGACACGGAATTTTTACCTTTGATAGATAAGATTTCTGCAGCCGTTTCGCTGTAGTCTGCTAGTCGCAACCAAGCAACGTTGCTATGCCAACGATGCTTGCAAACAGTCAGCATTTGTTTCTGCCAGCAGGCGGTGATCGTGGAGCACAGTTTGGCAAAGAAAAACATGCGCAACAAAGCCCTCCATGTTTTATTCTGCACTGCCAACTGGGCTTCCTGCGGGATGGTTTTGTGTGAGCGTGAACTACTCTGTAGATGCTGCCGGAGTGTAAGATCTCGTAGCCGTTAGTTTTCAGGATATGCGGGTTTGTCCGGCAAAACGTGCAGGAAAAAATGTCACTGCTTTTCATTGCGTGAGCCGTGTCCCTTCCTGCTTCTGCTTTCCAGTAATTCTTTCGTGAATGATCCAGTGACTGCAATCTTACTCCCCTTTTAATGGCGAAAGGGTGGTTTTGTATAGATGAAACAAAATTGAGAGAAAACATCAGGAAGCGGGAAGCAGCGGCCACACTCATATGCTAGGGGTCACGACAGAGGGAAAACGTGTTGCAAGGTTGGTTCGTCGTCTGTGTCACTGGGCTCGTATTTTCAAGTCCTTTATGCAATTTGAAGGGTCTAAAAATTGATGTACAACAATAATAACAATAATTTGGAAATTATAATTACGTAAGTAACTGTTTCTTTTTGTTACAGGATTTGATCAACGTGATTTGCTTGTGCTAATAAAGTGAGTTATCACGACGTTGTTAATTGACCTAACAAAGCCACGTATAAAGTTACAATGCGTAAAATAAAGACAAAATTTAGCAAATTCTAGTAAGAAATTTACACTAAGTTCCTCTTCTGTACAAATTTTATCAAAGTTTTTATTAAATATACTGGAAACAACATTAACTACAGCAATCAGTCGGATGTAGTAAAGGAAACACCTCAAAGGTGGCATGTAGCGAAGACTATAGCAAGGTGCTCGCTTACCAAGAAACTGGTTAAATTCGCAATTCTAATTTCTTCAGGCACATTGTACGATTGTGGAGACTCAAAGAGAATTAAAATAAGTAAGTTGTTCTTTCCACACTCTTTTTACGAAGTTTATTGCCATTTGTGAAGGTGTCCACTAATTTCGCTTCTGTTTTATTGGTTTTTGCCTTTCTGGACGTATCTTCGCCTTTTGAAACTTGCACGACTGCCTAACGATGAACACCACAACCCGTTATTTTCGTGACCTCTTCAAAAATGCTCGCGAAATGCACCACGGGAACACGGTGTTAGTGCAACGGGACGCCGGGCAATCTTGGTGGATGGGATTCGTGCGGGACATCCAGGACGATCGTTTTCTGGTGGACTTTGATGCCAGCTCAGTTCCCGCCCAGTGGGTCCCCGCGCAGCAGCTCTTTCCCCATCATTTTCTCAGCCTGAATAACGCTTGGGAAGGGACCACGGTGCAGGTGGCGCTGCGTACAGCCGCCGATCAACCGATGGTCTTCCGGTCGTGCACCCTCATCAAGGAGGAAAAATACTACGGATTGCTATGTATGGTCCGCCTGCAAGACGACGGATCGGTGCATGTCGTGCACCGCAATCATCTAGTGACGACTCTACCGCCGGATGACAGTGAATGCTTCGCGGGTCGCCGCAGCGGGTTTCTGTTCCGGCGCTACGAGATCGCCGTTCCCCTGGGACAAGCGTTAACCACCGTGGATTTCCTGGCAATTTACGTCAACCAGGTCTGCCAACTGAAATTGAAACCGGGCCGTGGGGTGCTCTGTGACGCCAGCTGCCCAGTGACCCATGACCAGGGGGTAGACGATATGGTGTTCACTTGCGCGGGACGGCATCAGAAGATGCAGGGGGCTCGGTATACCTTCGCTATCGGGTGCCGTGTCTTTGCGCGACTGACGGACGACCACACGGTCGTTTTCGTTTGTGCCGAGATGCATGGGAATGAGGAGGGGCACAGTTTGTTCTGGACTGCCGATTCCTTGCGAAGCGCACTGCTGGATTACGTGAAGGAGGACTTGGTGGGACAGCGTCTTCGGCTGATGTTCCTCGCTGCAGCCCCGTGCTGTATGGTGAG